AAAAAAATATAAAAAGATCGCAGTTTATTTTAGTTTGAAACTGAGACAGTTGTTATTCCATTATTATATCCCCTAAAGCTTTGAATAATATTCGTTTCTTACCTCTTAATTAGTGCACAGGACTCTCTATGTGAGCTTTATTCTCTGTTTTTCTGCAGGTGTAACGTTGGATCATACTTTAACTGATTATAATCGAGACTCCTTGGAAATGGGCCCTCCAAAGAACAGGTGGACAGAAACAGAAGAAGCAGCTTTTAAGGCTGGCATGGCCAAGCATGGCATAGGAAAATGGAGTGAGATACTGAAAGACCCAGAATTTAAGATCGTCTTGAGTTCACGTACAAATGTGAACCTTAAGGTATAAATTCTAAGTCTCATCGTCAATTTTTCTTTTCTTCAAAATAAAAGTCAACATTCTAGTGTGAGCGCCCACATTTTGATTGAGCACGATTACACTATTGACGAGTTACTTCGAAAGTTCATTTTTGTTTGGGTCTCATTCACTTTTGTTGACTGGACAGGATAAATGGCGGAACATGAATATGATGGCAAGTGGTTCGGGGTCTCAGTACAAGGCTAGTACTTTATCTAAAAACAATCAGAAGACTTCCAATGATGATGGAAATTCTGTGGCTCCTGGCATGGTAACCAAGAATGATAAAGAAGCTCTGCCTCTGGCAGTATATGGTGAAACACCAGAGGAGACCAGTTCTAAAACACAAATTTCCAGGTTGAATAATATCATCATTTAATATCACAGTTTTGTGTTATTTACTTTCGTTCCAGTAGCAAATTCAGACTCTTCCTTTTGAAATTACATGTTATGGCAGATAGTTAAACTGCTCAAAAATTATTATGAAATATCTATCCTCATAATTTTTATGTCTGTTAGTTTTAGATTAGACATCTCAATATATATGTTTAGTGATGAGATGTTTTGGGGCTGACTTTCTTTAATATAGGTTAGATGATCTTATATTAGAGGCTATAACCAAGCTGAAGGAGCCTCATGGATCTAATCGGGCGGCAATTATGCAGTACATAGTGGTAATTTCAATCGTGGTTTTAACTTTTATTTATCTGAAATGTTTTGGAGGAATGGAAGTGGACACTTCACAGAAGGTGACCAAAATCATTTCGGAAATGCAGTGGAGAACTTGTGAAATTTTCCCTTCAAAATAATGTCTCTTTCAACATATAAAGAAGAAAACGTGTATTTATGATATAAATATAGCTGGCATTGATTTGCACTTAATGTAAAATTGGTTTTGTTCAAAATCTTGATGATACAAAATACCTTCTATTCCATTTCAGTGTCCTATAATATAGGATTTTTTTGGATGTTTTAATTTGGACTTACCTTTAATATAGCATGATAAAAATGATAATATTATAATTAATAGTGATGCATTGGACCCCTCTGCTGTCCAGACTGTTTCGTTGAATGACCCCCCCACTAAAATTTTGACACTACACTAAATTATGAAGTGTCAAAGTTTTAATCATCGATATTTGTTTCTTTTACATCATGATTTATGTTCACTAAAATTATGACAACTCAAAATTGTAGTGAGGGACAGAATTTTAGTTGTGCAACAGCCAATTTGGGACGAGATCTGGACTCAACGATCATGCTTTCATAAATGCCAAATTTCCCATTCAATTAAGTTTCTTTCTTCAAAGCAGAATACTTTAACATCTCATGAGTCACTGTCATCTTATGCTTAATTAGGGAAACAATTACTTTTGTTTCTAATTTTCAGATCTCGTATATAATTTTTTTTCTATCATTGTCATCATAATTTTTTTCAAATTCTGATGTAACAATGTTGACATGTTAGGAGTGTCAATTGGCACCGCCTGACTTTGAAAAGAAGTTGGCTGCAAATTTAAAGATTTTAACAGAAGCAGGACGACTGGTTAAGGTAATCCTCAGTAACAATTTCTCTTTTTTATCTAGGTAGAGGAGTGGGTGGGAAGGCAGCGAGGTGTTAAAGATTAAAGGTTAGAATTCAAATTCATGGATTTAATGGAGTTTAAAATTGGTGAGAGTTTTGTTGAAATGCTAGATTATTTTTCTACCCTTTTAGGTGAGACCTACTAATAATTTAGTGGTGTGTTCAAATTTCAATGTTATACTGTCATGAAGGTGGATAAAATGACAGATGGGGTTCTGTATTATGTTTGCGGATATGATTATAGAACGAGCATGACCAAGCACGAAAAGTGGGATTGTGCATGCATATAAGATTGATTAGTTTTTATATTGAATTATAATTATAGTATTTGCATTGACAGGTGAAGCGTCTATATAAGATTGCATCAAGTTCAATGTCGCTTGATGTAGGAAAAGACCCTTCCCCTTTGCTTCAGGGCGAAACACACAAGGTTTCTTCAGAAGTATACATAAATAAGTTCAGAATGCTTACCAGAGCCGAGGTTGATGCTGAATTAGAAGCAATGATGAGAATGACTACACAGAAGGCTGCAGCAGCTGCTGAACGTGCAGTAGAGGAGGCGGAAGCTGCAATAGCAGCAGCCGAGGAAGCAGAAAGGGAAGCCAAAGAAGCAGAAGCCAAAGCAGAAGCTGCATGGTGTGTTGCTGAGGAAGAAATGAAGTCATTTAAACATAAAAATGTCCATGCCAGGTAACGTCAATTCTTGAGTTTTGCTTATTTGCAAAGTCATCTTTTTCTACAGCCTAGTGCTAAGGCACAAAGGTGACCATGTGTATATTAAGAGTATGCTGGGCTAAGCTTAGAAAGTTTACTTACAAGTGAGCAAGTTTTAAACTAAATAATGTTTTTCACTTGTTGAAGTTAGAAATAAGTTGCTTGCTTACTAAAAGTAACATTTGCTTTTTATTAAGCTTGACTAAAATACTCTCTCAGAGATAGTAACACGGAATCGAACTTTTACTTCCATGAACCCCAAGTCTCAATTAGAAATTGTTGATAGTTGAACTATTATTTTCCCGGTTCAAAAACCTTTCCTTTGAAAGTTTAATTCCATATTAATCTAACAAATTCCCACAAGTTTTCCAATGAAGATCCTATAGCAGGCTATCATTGCACAGATTCATTTCTGCTACGTCGATCAGTCTCTTACATTTTCTAATTTCTACTCTGACAGTATCATTTTCATGAATATGCAGAATCCCAGGTGGCAAGTATGCAAGGGCTTTCTTCTGAGATGAACTCCTTTTATAATGGGATCAGGGATGTAACT